ACTAAACCTCAGAATGGAACATTGCTATGGCTAGAATGCTGTGTAAAGTAGCACAAAAGCAGGCTGTTCAGAAAAATTTTAACCTATAATTCGGTTGAAAAACAATGCATTACATGCAGTAGTTTGCGAGTTATTCGCAATTTAGGAGCGGTCTTGGAATAACGTCGTTATTCTTTTTCGTTAAAAACATCTTGCTATATGTAGGCAGATAGCAAAAAAACGATAAGCTAATTTATAAGCAGCCGAGTAGTATACGTTCTAAATAGACATAGCTGTCCATAAATGTGCTATATAGCCCCTAATACTCTGCATCAACTAGGGACTTCCTAGGTGGCTGTAAAGCCATCTTTGCAGGCATCCATAGCAAGATGTAGGCAAATAAGTTATAATTTTGAACGAAAACATTAGAAATTCAGTAAGGAATATGGTGTGCGTGAGAAGTTAATAGAGCTTATAAGTAAGCCACTGTCAGCAGGTCTTATTATAATATTTCCGGTGGACCCTGAGCCACATAAACCACTAGGAACATAGAGTTTAGTAGTTTTTAAGCCTCTAAGTGGTTCTGAAATTAATATCACGGCTGAATGAGTCAGGTCTACCTGAATAAGACTGGAGACATTTCGGATCAGTTGACACATTTTGGCCCGGAAGATACACACATTGCTCAGCTAAACCTCGCAAGTTATATCTCTTACAGTCGAGTTGCTATATTCATGTGGCTGCCTCCAACACCAGTGTGCTAGAGGAGTCTGGCATTAATACTAAATAAATGATTATGGGAAAAGTTATTAAAATTTAGCAACTTGTTTTGGGGCCCGAAATACATTTGGGTCTAAGTTGGTGAGGCAGTAACCTCTCCATTTCTAGGGATTGAGCTTGCTCGAACATGAGGGATTGTTATGCCTCATGTATTGCTACACACTATTGTGCAGATCTTTGTTTAATTTCGGGCTATTTCTCTCCAATTGTGAGTTCCGAAGCAAAGCCAGCGGTGTTCATCCAGATGGCAAGGTTAACTAGTACTATACTGTCGCACAGGCTATTTCCTTTACGGTTTTCCTGGCAAATGTTGTTCTATGTTCCTAATGAGTGGTAAGGTACAGCAAGAGTAAGATAGTAACAAAAATAGTGGGTTGATCTTTCACCCTCCATTACCCACAAAGCATGGTAGGCTTTGGAGCCAGCAAAAAGATAACTAGCACACGGGCGGCCAAGATAAGCAAAGTGGTGGTCGAAAGTTTCTGGTGGTCCAGCCAGCCAGTGTGGCATGGTCCTATCTGTCGTTGGTTAGCTTTCGTGTCAGTGAACTGGAATCTTGAAAGGCCAGTGCTTTACTAGCAAAAGCATTTAAAAAGGAGGATCTGGTTTACATGTTGCCTGTTTACTTGTGTTGCCAATAGTGATAGGTAAATGTATACCAGATAAAGCTAAGTAAATGGGGCCATGGGAGGCTAAGTAGCGAACAAGATGTCTGATTCTTGGGCCTAGAACATTTAAAGTGCTTGCTATGTCGAGAAAACAAAAGATTTATATATTATTTTGCTGTTTACATACTGATAGTAGTTGGAAACAGCAAAGTAACGTAGCTAGTGCTCAGGCTTAATAAAAATTCATCAATAATGGCCAGCTAGCAACCAATATCTACGAAGGCACCTAAAGGTTCATCCACGGCCTCGGGCAATTCCATTGCAATCTTAACTGTAGCAGCAGCAACAAAAGCTTTCAACCTCTTATGCCTGGTTTAGGTATGGTAAGGCGCCTTTGTTAGGCTTACCTTAATGGTCATTAGCCAATCTTTTCGCCATGGACCCATTGGTCTAAGAACTTGGTAAGTGATAGGTGTAAATCGGAAGAAAAGAAATGAAGATGTAGATAAGATGTATGGATCGAAATACGGCGGCTCGGATGTATTCGCCATTGTCCTGCAATATCCTATATAAGGAAAAACTTCGAGTTTGCGAACCTGCCGGTCAGTAGGTCAGACTTTACTGTGTTTTGAAATTTTAAACACAGACGAAGTGATAATTGCAAAAGCGAAGCCGGAGTGTTGCGGATACTAATTGGTCCATACAGCCTTTGGATCAACATGTCACTGAGGGGCCAAAGCCCGTCAGAAACTAATCAGTAATAGCTAAGTACCTCGCATTCAGCATTCTAATAGTAGCACGCATATATATATATATATATATATATATATATATATATATAAACACCGGCTTCGTTGTAGTTCGCTCCCAACAGATCAGAGCCGGAAGGTTTTCTGTGCAATTAGGCACACGCACTGACCACTACGAGGTCTGCTGTCCGCTTCGTTTAACATTTATATTGCCGCAAGCAGATTTTGTCCGTCTTGCGACCGAGATCCTATTCCTCTGAAACTGGATGTGGCAATGAAACGGAGGGATAGTTCCATACGCAGTGTTTGCTTAATAGACTTGCAGAAAGGAAAGGAAAAAATGGAGGAAGAACGCAGTCTAACTGGATAAAAACAGCGTACCATGGCATGATCAGCTTCGACGAAGGCATAGCCGTACCAGCTGCATTCCGGAATGGAATCAAACCAAATCGTACGGGCGTCAGCCATGGGCATCCGACATGTGTGCGCAAGGAGTTGGAGAAGAAGTCAAAGAGGCGTAGAGGAACTCTATGGACACTTGCAAGGAATATTCACTCGATCACCACGGAATGCTGTGGAATGGGCCAGCGACTTTGGCGTCGCTTGAACACGGGGATTCGGTCGCGTCTGCTGTCTTTGAGGCTATCAGAAAAGGGGTTACGAAGGATGGGTGGGCCTGCCAACATAAGTGGTTCGTAACACAGCATGCTTACCCGTATTTGGGTAATGTAGCGAAAATTCACTGCTTGGTTTTTGCTCGGGAGCATTGTCCATCACAATGCACACAAGTAAAGCTTTCCGTTCCCAGGTAGCCAGCACATAAGTAATGCTACCAACTTTCGCAAACATCACACAACACCTACTCCATGTGTACGCTCAGGGGTCTGCACATGGCTGATATGATTCTCTGTAGACGTCGGAAGTTCCTTCTCTTAGGCACCTTGAAGGCTAGCGGTACCTTCGTCACTCGACGATTGAACGGCGACTTCCGTTTGGTGGCTCCATAAGCTGGCTTTAAGGGGCCTTCAAGTTGTCACTGGACTGGGTCACTGCATCCGAAATTTGGGATTTCATGGTGGAACTTGGAACTGCGCCTTCGCTAGGGACTGTCAGTTTAGTTGCATATGCTGGCAACTATCCTTTAGCCGTTATACCATTTTAATGGAAGCAAGCGGCGGTGGCTCCTTGCAGTACTACGTTTAGTAGTACATGGTGACATCAGTCCTAATTGGCATCACGCCTACAAGCGTTTGCAGGGACAGCATAGAACGTGGGAAAGCTGTCGATGCAATGCTGCACAATTGGGTGATCAACAGATGTGCCAGCTTTACTGCTTCAAAGAACCTCGTCCCTCAGTCCACCGGCGTTCACGGCAGTTCAACTGGCTCATCACGTGACCGGAGCTCTAAACCACCGGTGACCTAATTTTCATGCTCCGGGTTGCCGGATGCTGGCATCGCCCAACAACAATTTACGCTTGAAACGTCCAAACTCCTCCACTAACATTGTACACATTGCACGCATAAGCACAGTGGATACGCCACTGGCGATTGAACGCAAGTGTGCAGGTGTATCTATGTACCCTGTAGCGCCTTATCAACCCACCTCCCATGTAACGAACCTCCTACGTATAACCATGCGGGGTGGCGTCACACATGTGGACAGTTTGCCAATGCTGAAGAAAGTGACCACGTGCAAATGGCAGCAAGCGAAACGAAGGGGCGCGGCAGTGAACACATTCAGAAGGGGAACATGCGATGTTATGGTATGCCTACCAAGCGCCAGTGAAAGTTGCTGTTTAAAAGTATTCACGATTTCCACAACCAGGTTTAATAACATCTTCAGTGATGGCTTCTCGTTTAGTTGTCTTCGCAAAGGCTTGCTCTCCTTATTCACCTTTTAGTCGTCACGCAGCCAAACATGCAAACACACCCTTGTCGATGCGCAGCCCAAGATGAGGTACTCCGTAGCCATCTTCTCAGCCAGTATTGTGACACGCAGTATGCAGGGACTGGTTGGCAGGTAAAATCATTTCGAAATGCTTCGAGTAACGCGTGTACACCAAATTTCACAGCCACTGGCGTAACCGACTTCTCACAACCGAAGTGGTAGCAAATAGTTGGGAACAGCGCCTGCTTATGTAGCGCAGGACGTAAATTTGGCAAAATACCACTGCCGCATCAGGAAATACATGCCTGAAGGCACCGGCTTGTGCGAAGTATTTATCCATTAGAAGGTCTGGAAAGAGGAAGCACTTAGTACCATGGCACGCATTGCTTATATAGCATCCCTACAGCTGGTAGACATCTCAGTTGACAACAAGGCGTAAAAGAACGCAAAAGCCACACCCGTTACGTCCCAAAACCTACAGTGCACTAACAGATAGCCGCTGTAATGCAACTGATAGGTCGCATTCGACAAACTCACATTTCCATATCGTTCCACTCTTGTCAACCTGCGGCACGGCACAAAACCAATGCACGAATGTGATCCCATCGAGCAGCAACCGTAAATTAGCATGCTTCTCCAGTAATTCCGTACCTGCATGATTCTCACCGGATTTCGGTTTAAGATGTCTCCTCTTTATTGACAGCAAGTCGTTTCCGCTCAGCCACCGAGCGCAGTCTGCAAACTTGTGCGCGCACCACACCAGTGCTTTTAATACTGCACAAAAGGCTTGCAACCTGCAAATCTTGCGCCTCCGTCAATCGTCCATCGCCCACATACAGCCACGGGTTTCCAAATTGCAAGTCATGCTGATGCGCCAAGTTACGTGCTCCACGCTCATAACACAGACCCTACAAATTGAATGAAAACCTAGCGTCACAAGTGAAATCCATGTATCTACATTCGACACATTAGTACATGACCAAACATCACCTACCTCCAGCCAATAAAGTTGGTAAGTGTGCGGTGCACACACCGTAATTGCGCATAATGGTACGTTTCGCCCTCCGGTAATTCCTCACTTGTCTTCCTCTCGTGGAATTCCTGTGAAACCGCTGTATGACAGTAAAACTAGGAGGCTGCTTCCAGTTGAACTTTTCACTTCCACCTCCAAAGCATGATGTTTAGGACAAAGGAGCGAAAAATGCACTTAAAGGATTTGGAATAGTCCCTCCTTGCTTCGTCTATAACGGGCGCCAGAAGCACAAATCTTCTACTGTAGACCATTATAACTGCCCTTTCGCGAAACTGAAATCATCCATTCTGCAATAAGTGCGCATGAATAGTATTGCTATTAAAGGGTTTCAACACTTCTTTATATATCCTCCAGGGGCTTCATGTGAAGCGCCATGACTTACGTAACCAACAAGACCCAATTACCTGATTTACTGAAAGGTGGGGACTTCAGTCCCATCCAGTCCACCTTGCATCGATTAAAGTGGTACTGGCCAAAACCGATTTGCCGCTTACCGGTAATTTTTCCTGTTGACTTCAGTTTTGATCCCTGTTTGTACCCCCATTTGCTTTTTCTTCTTGTGGTTGTTTTACTATTGTATGCCATTGTATGCTTGCTACGAATAGCGTCGCCCTCTCTAAGGGGGAAGGGCTAATTGTCGTATTGGCGGGAAAGTGTTTCGCTACTATTGTCCTCCGGTAACGTGCTGCACAACGGTCTACGCAAGGCGTAATAAATGGCAGACGCGGGGGTGCATCCGACACTGAGAAATAAGAGGAGTGGGATGAACAATCCTCCGCGTGTGAACATGGAAACGAAATTACGTATAGATGCGCAATAAACCAATAATGTTACGTTGAACGTTAAAGCATGTATGTGTTGAAATGGGCGACGGACGGTGGAATGATGTAGTCAGGAAATACGAAATCACGGTTGCCATGACAGCAACCGCCGCTGCGTGAATAAATGGGGATGCATTTTGGAATGGAAGAGATAACGAGTGGTTACACGGGTAAGTGGTAGCTGTAGTACCTGCTCTAGTTTTTAAAGGAATTAAATCTCCTTAAATGTTTTGTAGGCAAGTTATAATAGGTGAGCTTAACGTTTAAGGCACAAGCAATGTACGTATGAAAAAAGGTAGTCTTTGCTTTGCTACGTTTCATGCGTGTTAGGGAAAAGGCAGCTGAATAAGTTGGTTACTGTTATATTGCCGTGTGTTGTGTGATATATGACTATTTTAAATCTTTCACTCGGCTACATCTAGGGAAGTGTGGGTTGGAATTCCATATTTCACGCATTTGTTTACAGCGTGGGTCAAAGTAGAGGTAGTTTGCAACCGCCAAAATGTATATTTCACGGGGTATCAACAAATGCAATCTTTCGTAATTTGTAATGTATGGGATAATTAATTTGGAAGAATTTTATGGTGGATGGATACGCGGCACGAGTTAATAGGTGAAGTTCAGCAATATCCATGAAAGGGAGATCGCAAGTCCTATGGATATAGTTCTTCCATGTAATCCATGAACCCTATTTTTATGTAGGAGCTTTCGATGTACCTGTTCTTTTAAGACTATAAATCGTTGCTATGATATATAAAATGCATATATACATGTGTATATATATGTATATATATAACGCTGTTATCTATGGCTTGATTTTATATACGTTGATAATATAGTTATATTAGTTAGTGTATCTGTCATATTTAGGTATATGGTAAATATTTGTTATAATTTTCATTGCCTCGTAATATGTTACATGGCATAAGTCTTGGATGTAAAGGTGTAATGAAACATAATGGCCAGATATCTATTAAACTCCTGATACGCTTACTGTTTTAATGCCACACAACTGGTATTAGTCCGTGTTCTTCGTTCGTCAGCGGGCTTAGTTTATCACGTGAGAGAGTCGGTGCAGTAAGTATAAGGGTTAACTGTTTTGGATTATTTCACTTGTTTGTAACGTTTAACTTCCCGCCATATTTGCTTGCGTAGGGTTCCATCAAACTGCAATCATTATTAGGCGAGGCTTGTGATACAGTGGTTTACTTCATGTATGGACGGTTATGATACATTGAGCACTGGAATAATATGGATAATCCCGGGTGCTGATGACCTCAATCTATGGGATTTCTTAGTGTTCCTATAGTTTCCGAGGCCATACAGACTGCGCTGGACAGACACTGGGGCTGGTCTACTTTGTTGTTTATGCCCATAAATAAGACTAAGGTTTGCGTTTTTGTACGAGAGCAAATATTGCACCTTTCAGGTACGTACTGGGGTAGGTTAAACTCCCCCTTGTCTCCAACCACGTAGACCTAGGCGTCTGGCATTCATCGCCTTTGCAATGTGGTGACAGCTGGAAGAATGCCGCAAGTAGATGTTTCAGGGGGAAACGCGGTTATCGCGTAGAGGTATCGAGCGCTGGAACTCCCTTCCAGAAAGTGTATTCCGTGTACCTACGGTTAAAGGTTTTGTGCGTCAGTTAGACGCTATTGTGTGGCAACACGACACTTTCCCTTCTCCTGAGCACATCCATCTTCCAACTTTAAGGTCATATTCTGTCATTCACTGCACTCATTGGTGTTATCCTTCAATTTATTGACTTCCAGTTTCCTTCGTCTTACGTTTACGTCATACTTCCTGTCTACTTAACATAACTTACGCTGCCGGGACTGCTAGTGAAGGGAAGGTGGGCAGTAATGGGCTGATCATGGTGTTTCAGTAGTTTCCTTTAACATCTACCAAGACCTACCACCTTATGCTTTCCTGGCTGAACGATTTCCTCAAGAAGGAACACACACGGGACTTTGCTATCATTCCAGTGCAACTAAATCTAAAGCTGTACACCCTTATGCCTCCTTGGGCAAACAGTTAATGCCCACGTGTGTTGCCCAATCGGTGTCTGCTTCGGCAGTCACGTGAAGAAAGTGAACCAAAGGAGTTGAGAAATAGAAGGCACGGAAAAAGTAGTAGACATTAAAAAAGGAACATGAGATCAATGGTTCAGAAGATGTAGAGAAAAGGAGATTGAAATACGAAGCTACGAGTTACTCGGGGAACGGTAACTATTTTGTGTTGCCACGCGAAAGCTTCAAGTCACCCCTGAACGCCTGACTCCCTGTTGACACGGTGCAGAAGCATGTTGAAGTTCAGTTAGTACACTTTCAAGGAGGGACCGCGTAGAGTGAAAAAGGATACCGGGAGTATGTACCTCAGATACATAATCACCAAGCCTCGCAGTGAGGACGCACGTTGTTCACTTGTTGCTCGACTGTTGTTGACGTCCTTCACGGCCTCCCGAACCTTTAGTCTAGGGTCTACCGGAAGTTGCTGATGAACGACCATGTGTTATCTAATGCTGCTAACAAACATAATGTCAAGTATTTCTGATGGGATAACAGAGTGCCAGAAATGGGTATAATGCAGGACCATAAAGCAGGCGTTCCTATAGGCAACGGTAGGTAGAAGCGGCACGCAAGGTAAAGGAAAGGATAAGTTGTTCAGTCCCATGCGAAATGTTCACGCACGTTTGGGTGAGATAATTCATACTTATCCACACCCGTCGGATCACTAAGCAACTGGGAGGTGATATGATATCAAAAATACAGTTTCAGCGCAAAGAATACATGTGCCATATATTATACGTCAAGCGTGCCTCTTACCTTGCCAACGCAGGTTGCCCCGGTGCCTTGTAAAGGGCAATCCTTAATCCGGTTGCTTATAGGATTGTGCTGTCACAAAGGAACTGATAAGTAAATGTGCATCCTAACAAGGTAGCGGAATTGTGGGTGCTTCTGATGTCCGTAGGCACACCTGACCGCCCCCATTGTGTGTGATCCCGTTACCGAGGTTGGCGTACATGACGAAACGTCATGTAAGGGAGGCACCGCAAATGAGAGCAGTGGGTGTACCTAAAGATCAAGCGGCAGCAATGACTAGCACGGTTATACATGAAAGAAAAATTTATCAACATGAAAAAGAAGGACTTACATACACCGATGGCAGGTGCAAAGTTCCTGCCCACTGTACGAGACGCATACTTGATGATACCAATGGCGGCAGTCGCAGCACATGACCCCGTCAACAACCTGTCCACTCTGTGCCTCGCAGTCAGTTTGAAAGCACGAAGCGCACTTGTCATTGCCATAGTTGGCTAGGAGTGGAGCATGGCTACGACGCTTCCTTGAAGGCCTATACACCCTAACGGTTTTCGTGTGCAAGTCTTGGAAACGAAGTGTATTCCTTTCATGCTCCTGACTGGCTGACGATTATGTAATGGGAACTAAACGTTGTTTACGCATTGTGCCTTCCCTGGTACCTGCACTTGTCCCTTCCGCAGCTGAATCCATTACGTTTCCGGAGCTTGAAACCGCAACGTCCTCGTGAGAGCTGCTACGGTTCCGTAGTAACTCACGCAAGTGATCCATAACTTCCCCATACTTCGCATCGTCCAGGCTCCAAACTTGTACCTGAATATCACCCAGAACCTGGCTGCATTCCAGAAGCTTCTGTTCTCTACTTACGGGTGCAACAGTGGAACTAGAAGCTAGGGGGACGACGGCGGAGGACGTTGATGCGGTAACACGCGATTGTTGCGCGTGCGGCACTACCCACCGGTTGTTACGCAATATGTCGTCGACCGGACTCCCTACTGCGCGTAAAGCTTGCACAATGTGTTCGCACGGAAGCAGCCATTGCCGGCTGAACCTGCAATGGCAGGTTACCTCCTCACCCATTAACACGGTGTACCTTCTACGGGTACCTTGCACTTGACATGTATCATCGGACAACTCCGTCACTGTCACCTTCTCCCGAGTGTGATGGCACCACAGGCGCGTTCATGCATACCCTGGAAACTGAAGCGCAGCCTGCCCTAGGCTCCCCAAGCAAGAGTCCATTGGATGCCCCGACAAATCGGTTTTACACATGACATCTTCTCACTGAGTTTGAACATCAATCACGCGGTTAACAACCGCGGTAAACAGGTCTAATAAAGAAGTCCGCTCGGAAAGACCACTCTTCGAATACCTAGGTTCGTTTTATACAGGGTTCGATGTGAAACAGCCGAACTAACTGGTGGATGTCAAACGGTGGGCCGCCCACGGTGAGACAAAGGGAAACCACGTTCGCACCAAGTATCTGTGCGCGTCCGCGTTTCGCTCGTTAATGACTGTCAAATTCCTGACGAACAATCGAGAGCTCCTAGCGTACACTAAGTTTCGTACCCACT